TAGTGACGAATGACAGAAATTTGGTACCCAGTATCTTGCAGTCAACCTCGCAGCAACGTGGGATGGGAGTTTCTCCTAAAAAGCATAGACGCTTATCAGAGCAAAAGAGGTTCCTAAACCTAATTTCTTCTGTTTTCACCACTGCAAAAGCATCAATACGTCTTTATAAGGTTATCATCGTGATTTCTGTTTTCTTAATGTTAGTGATGGACATCCGTAGCCTGAGTTCTGAGAAGAAAAGGTAATAAATTCACTGAAATTCTGTTGCTTATGAAGATAATCAATTAACGCAAGATGTAGCTTAGATGTTGTTGTTTTTATAACCGGTTAACAGAGCAGCTTGTTTGTGTCTTCTCAGTTGATAAATAAAATATTAGTCACAGATCACTTGCCTCACATAGGTATTTTATTGGTTTTTTTCACAGAATGTGCTTAGTCAAATCTATCAGCGTCCATAGATAAATGCCATTGTTCCACGTGATCAATTTCAATGAATCCAGATCAGTGCTGAACTAAAGTAGTAACTATTGATGACTATTCACCGCTGTTTGCCACTATTTGCACCATTTGAGACTATTCATACTATTCGCTATTCACGACTATTAGCCATTCACTATTTGGGTTTTCCAGACACCCATGCTCTTTTAAAATCCAGCAATGCGGCAGATGAAATGGGACATGCTAACATCCTTCTACATCTCCACAAAATTAATGGTTTTGGGTAAAACACGATTTCTCTCTGCAAGTGTTGGGAAATGAGAATTTGACCTTCTGCTGGCTGACTACAACTGCAAATTGATTTCATGAAGCAACAATAAATCACTGAGTAAACTTACTTGGTTGTTCAGACCATTCAGTGTTTGTGTTCCTTCCTGTGATGGAAGTTTGATATTCAATTTTTCAAAGCTTTCTTCTCTGTTCCCAACATTTTCGCCTTGAGTGTGGAGCCATTTCCGGAGACTAATATTCCACAATAATTATGCTACCACTATTTGCTTGACAGAAGTCTATTGCACAGCGTGTTTTGATCCAAAGGTCGCGTAACAGTGAAAACAGTGGTTACGTAGTGATTACCATTGAGTCACCATGTTTTCCAACAACATTGTTATCAGTTTTAATAACGTTATTTTATATGCCTTGCATAGATACCAGCTATCTAAAGCCTTATCTTCCATCAATTGCTACCAAAGATATCTACATGTAAGTATTACAAGGAGTGGTCATGCATGGATTCATACATGTATAACATACAATAATTTATAACTGTACAATTTATTATAATATATCACAGAAGTAAGTGGTTTTGATAATCCTTGCAGTCTTTCCTTTTTGGTTCTCCTTCATAAGATGTCAAAATACCAATACCTTATACTGGTCCGCACAGGGCTGTCATTAAAGGCTGGCAGTGGGCTGAAACAGCCGGCTATGGGCCAATCTTCCGCTGTCTGCCAAAATGGTGCCCGCACTGGAGAAATTGAGGCAGTCGTTGCTGATTATGTTTTTTCCACTCTCAACCAAGTTTGCAGAGCACTGATCAGTAGTTTTGTGGCTGCATATGTTGTCACAGTTATAAATAGGAAAGATTTTCTGATTGAGACTGCTGAGATTTTTAGTAGAAGAATGGNTGGTTTTCTTTAGTTATCGGACAAAACGCGAGTCGCCAGCTGGCGACCAGTTCTGAAATTTAGTCGCCAGTGCTCAATTTTTGGTCGCATTGGCGACCAGTGAGTCGCAATTTCGAGCCCTGTCAAAAGTCAACTGAGTGTAAAATCGCTACTAGCACCAGCAAGGGGACCTTTACATTACTTCTGGTATTATTTTACCTGTTGAAAATTGACAAATTTACAAACGTTTATACCTCTAGTCACACAAGCATTTCCAACGTATCAAGTTTCCCACGACGTCTAAGGAAAACAGGAAAAGTGATGAAACAATCTCCCGCATGGACAGCTTGTCAGTATAAAACCCCATGATAACATTCAGAGACTTGAAAATTGGCTGAAATGAATTCTTCAACTTTTTCTGAAAGCAAGTTTCCTCTGAAAGTTTTTGGGGTCAATTGAATAAAAGATGGTCGTGACTATAAAGTGTGACTAATCTGTACATGCATAATCTGCTTTTCACGAAAACAGTTCTGTGGTACAGAAACTATATTTCAAACACACTGACAGACGTCAAAAAAACTGTAAGGAGTTAAAAATAAAACTGATTTTTGATCATACGGACTAGAAAAACATTTGGTTACGTTTTAGAGGTTTTAAAGTTTTTGAAAGCTATTGCATTCAGATAAACGAAACGTGAGTATTTGGGCCGTGTATTCAATTTCCATAATATTTTAATCGGGTCAATGTACGACTGAAAATTAATTCCACAACACTTGATGGCAACAAACAATGAGTAATTACATAAGACCTCAGTTTTTAGTAGTTTTTCAGATGAACGTAATTCAGACTAAACGGGGCTTCACGATCTTTCACAACGCCACCGCAAAATGCGTAAATTAACATGTAGGAATAGTGGCGCTGATGGAATGTGTTTACAATCAGTAGAATTCGACATAACATTTGAGATGACGCACTGCGTGTGATAAAATTCTTAGAATTGGAATAAACACAAAACCGATAACAAAGCTTTTTTGCGTAGTATTGTGTGGCAGTTTAACAAAATAACTTGTCCCATATTCGGCCACAAATTTCCAGTTAAAATATTTTTCATTTTGGCAGAAATGTCCAGTCAGAGTGTCCGACCAGGCTAAGCTTTTACCTGTCAAAACCTCAAATTTACCGGACAATTGTCCGATGACCGACTGTTATTTGCAGGCTTGCATGATGCTCACTTGACTTTTTATGGGGCACTGTAATTTTTAATAAAGTATTTATCATGCACAAAACTGCATGAAAAAGCAAGTGGCTATGTAAGGATGGTATATATCTAACTTGTGTTTGTGCACACAAGATATGAACACGCATCAAGCAATGCATAGATCACATGATGTGCATACACTATGGATGAAACTTGTACATGTAGTCCTAAATCAGTCAAACAAGTTTGTGTTTTGTGGTAGGCACCGTCACTCTTGTAATACTCCTGATCGAAAATGACTCCACACTTGCCTTTGAATACAGCTTGAAGATATGGAAGTGGTTCTCCCCTTCCCTCGACAGCTCTGGCTTCTAACAGGTCTACAACCTATTCAACAGCAAGATTTGAAATAAGAAATAAAGTTATGAAATAAAGGCAAAGCGATAAAGAGAATACAAGCCTAAGTCTGCGAGCATATGGAAAAACAGGACAACAAAAAAGCTAATAACATGGCTTAAATTCAGGTTTTAAGCTTACATAGACTTCAATTTGCGAATAGGACTTAATAAAGCAATGTTTTATGATTTACACATATTTTACAGCGACAACATGCTTATCTGCCCCTTGAGTTGTTTGCAGTTACGTTAAGACATGCAATAAGCTATGTTCAAAGACATTCACTCTGCCAGAAGGTAGGCAGAATTCATCAGACTTTGCTGAGTGCGGCAACGAAATAACACACACCTTTTGATTTTTGAGTGTTGAGAGCGCCTGAACAAGAGAAGGGACATTATTCTCTTCGCATAAACGAATGATCTTTTCATCCATGATCCAGAAATTCGCAGAATAACCACGTGAAAACAAAAGTGTAGTACCAAATATCTTTACCGCACAGCCATGGTAGCCGCCATATTCCTTGAAGTTGGCGCCAAATTACTCGCCGTAAGAGGAGCCAGCCGCGCAAAAGACCATGTTTTTTGATTGGTTTAGTTCGTCACAGCTACTGCTGTGACCAATCAGCAGTCTTCTTACATTTGGAAGAACAATTCGCATTTCTGCACACCGTCGAGCCCACAGTCGAAGAAATGGCGAACTTTGTCTCACACGAACTTTGTTTTGCGCTTTTGTTTTTGTCTCTAACAAAAATATTTTGCTTCAAACCGGTGATCATCGTCCATGGAATACTTGATCGCGCATCGGATATGGAAGATCTTGCCTCGTTTATAACTGAGGCCCATCCTGGAACCAACATAACGCTCATAAGCTTGTTTGAGGAAGTGGATAGTTTCAAGCCTTTGTGGATGCAAGTGTCAACTATGAGGGAAAAAATACGACCTGTGATGCAAGAGGCTAAAGATGGAGTGCATATCATCGGTTTCTCGCAAGGTATTTCATGAAATGGTGTTTTGTAGCAATTTTAACTCAATGCTTATGTAACTGTAACCTCTTTCCCAGGCTCTCTCTCCTCTGCCTCCCTTGGTCGTTTGGAGAAAAACCCTGGTTGCGGCTGGTCACCTGACCGCCTGTGACACAAACTTTTCCACCGGGGGAGCGTCAACGAATAATTTTTGTTGATCATCGCTGGTCATCGCCATATTAATTCATATGCAGGCAAAGTCACCTTTGAAATTCTCCAGTCCTGTGAGCTTCCTTGTTTATTGGTCTTCAAATCTTTTTCGCAACATGTGTAGTTTTGAAAATTGGGAAATATTCTGGGATGTTCCCCAGTTTTTGCAGGGGAATATTCGATCACGTGACGTTTAGACCAATAAATGCATAAGCGAGTATATTTGATGGATTTTATTTATAATTATGTATCCAGTGTATTGGAGTAGTACTCTGATTTCAAATCCAGCCGGTAGAATTAATAAGAAGTAAAACTGCTTGGCTGTTTCATGTTGCCCGAAGTAACCACACGGCACATTGTTCGCTATAGATGTTTTATTTACCATTTCGCAAAATATAATTCTTGACCATGCCAAGGAACAGTGTTTAAACATACATAAACCTGATGCAGGACTTATGTCAACAAAACTGTAAATCAATTTACATTGCTGTAATTTAAATGCAAGTAAGAATACTCGGCTAATCAGCCATGTGACAGTCCCCTTGCAGTTGTTTGTGAAAGTTTCTTGAAAGCCCCGAGAACTTTTCAGGCCTGCAAAGCCATTTTTAGATAATCTGTACCTGTAAACCAAGAGGTGTATATGCCTGAAACTTCTTGTATGAAGAGAACCTCTGTTCATATTGAGAATATGTGAATAAAACAGTGCTGTTATGTTAGGGTTTGAGATTTTGCTACGGCTCTCCGGGTGCAAAAACTTTTTGGGACCTTCAAGAAACAGGCCCCTGGCCCAAGTTGTTCGAAGGCTGGATAACGTTATCCACCTTTCGAACAACCTGGGACTGAGGTCACTGGGTGTTGCTTTAAGTCTTCGAACAGTTCACATTTATTTCACTCCGTTTTCCTCGCCTTAATAATAATCATTGGGACTCTAACTTACAGGGATAAACAGATATGGATGATTGCAACAACGATCCATTTCCAAAATGTATTACAAGTTTTTATATTTAATATGAAAATTCTAACATTGCGGCATAACAAGAATATTACATATATCACAGAAAAACTAGAGAACTGATGTGCGACCTTGTAATATTGCGAGATCTCGGATGAGCTGACAATAAGCAGTCCACTGCAGAGTCCAGCCTTGCTGTTGGCGAGATCTTCGTACGGTGGATGAACTCACGGCAATCTCGTGTTTTGCTAGCTTGTTCTGAATCTGTTGGCTTGTAATCTCATCATGTATTCGCATCTGTTGATCTATAAATGCTTTTGCATTTACAGACAACTTTGTTGGTCTTCCCGAGCACGGTAGATTCACCATGGAGCCAGTAATTTGTAGTTTCTTGATGATTCCAGAGAAGCTAGCGAGGCTTACTAGTAAACCTTTGTTCTTCAATGACCTGAATATTCCAGCTGGGCGGAGATCTTGCTTGTGAAGGAGCTCGATTCAAGTTCTCATTTAATTTGAAACTTTAGCCATGATGACTGACCTTCAAGGTGCTTTAAATGTAAAGCAAATGAGCAAATGATTTCTGGTCTAAGTAATAAACACGAATGGTCGCTATGGCAGCAAACTGGTACGGAGACTGGGGTCTGTTGCAAGAAAAATTGTGTGGTTCTACATGCTGTGAAAATGGTGTTTTGGCAAGTGTATAACATAGTGATTGAGTACAATTGCATTTATTTATTGGACTGTGGTGTTTTGGGGTTTTGGATCAAGTCAACAATTTAGCATTCCTTCTGAAATAACCAGGTGAGTTTCATAGCTAACATTTTGTCAAGCTGTGATGCTATTTCGGCAGATTAATGGTTTCTTTTGTGCACAATGATTGGAAAGGTCATTTATATATCTCACTCAGCGAACTGTGTTTTGAAAACGTTCTTGGCCTGTTGATAAACATAGATCGAATTTTTGGGAGGAGTGAATTATTGTTCGAAAAATCACAGCGACTTATTGGGATGAGTGAATTATCGGTCGAAAGTTCGCAGTGAATCATCGCACAAAGCGAATTATCGTTCGAAAAATCACACGGATCAAAACACTAGGTGTCACACAAATGCAAGGCAATTTCATAGAAATGTCGTTTCAAGCAAAATTTCTTTGAAAAGACAGGAATTTCGTGGAAATTCGTTTGCATTACTTTTGCACAATACTGTATATGATCGCTCCGTGTTTAACACCTCATGAATATTGATGGTTCTTTCCCTGCTCCTTAGTCATCTCTCATCTTAGTCATCTTAGTTTTGTTCAACAAGTTTCCCGAAAATGTTTTGATCTTTGACAGTATACAAATATTAAGGCTTTTTTTTTTGAGGTTTAAAAGATGATATCTCCCGTGGGAATATGCTGTCAGCTTGTTCGTAGTCTGCGCCGGGAAAAAATATCCTGCAAATGCAGCCATATTTCCGGCTGTGCAGAAGTTCATGGCCATCATCTTCATTCACCATTTCCCTTTTCCCGGGAAAAAATCTTTTGACTCAGCAGAGACTTAAAATTGAGTTTCACGGTGGCTTTACAAAGTTGTTGTGCCTTTCACTCATCCACTTTGACACTCACAAGTTCTGTAAATGTAAGGCGGTGTTTGTCTTTGATTATGCACTGTACGCGGCTAATTNTATTGCAATTAACAGACACAACACACAAATCAAATCTAGAAGTCTGCCATGCTACTTTAATAATCAATTTCCCAACCTACATTGTGCACTTAAGTATATTATGTACGTATGATACACCAAAACATACGGTACAAACAGTACACTTGAGGTTTTGAAACCCACAAAGTTTGTCATGGCAACAACCAAAACATTCTGCCACCCCTCCCGCCCAACAGATTTTTTTACCAACCAGGGTCTTTCTCCCAATGACCAAGGGAGGCAGAGGAGAGAGGGCCTGGGAATGAGGTCAATGTAACTGGACAAATCGGATTTGCCATTGTACCCCAGAGTATGAAGTGAAATCATCTCACATTTTTTCTTAGATAAAAAAAAGCAAAATCATGTTTTTAATTAGTATAGAAGGCGTTGACAGTAAAACGTTTAAACTGGAAGTGAAATCTTGCTGTGTATAGACTTTGTTGATCGATTTCTTGTGACAGTCACAAGAACTGGAGAATGTGGGTGCAGGAAGGGGTGGAGGTGGTAGGGAAGGGTGCATATATTATAATACAAGAATCATTGAGCTATCATAGAGTGCTCACATTTCTGTCAGAAACAATCCTCAGCCATTACTGGTCAGTCTTTTTAACCTTGTCAATTTTAAGAATAGGTTGCTTCCACCAAACCATTTGCAATTAATTTCTCTCTTCTATTCAGGTGGTCTCACAGTACGTGCAATCTTGGAGACCATGGATGATCACAATGTTGATACTTTTATTTCACTTTCCAGTCCTCAGATGGGACAATATGGAGGTATTTAAGATAATACTATTCACATCCCACTGGATAGGTTGGTAGTCCGGCCTGCAAGATGACCTCCCTAGTTGCTCCAACAGTTTGTTGGTACTTATAGACCCACCTGGACCGAGAGAGGTACAGGAACCAAGATAGGGTGGTTCCACATTGTTTTATACCAAAACAAGAGTCCTGTGCTGTAAAAGTGTGTGGGGTTATATCAGGGAAAACCAAATCGTATTTCATACATGAGGCAGGTTAGGAGGATTAGAAATAGTGCAAACCCAAGATGCATAACTTTCTAGAATTCTCCCACTCTGTCAGGGTCCGAAATTGCGCTTTCCTGGTCGCCAATGCGACTAAAAATTTTGCACTGGCGACCAGAATTTCACAGCTGGTCGCCAGCGGGCAATTAACTATTTCAAGTCCCAATAATTACACAAACTTTGATTTTCAGCCAAATTAATTAAAATAAAATTCAAAGCCGCCCACCAATTGGTCACATACTTTTTACCTTTCCGCTGCTTTTGAAGTACAAAACTGATTTTCCTGTTATTATAAACCTACCATAACGTTTCACAGTTACGATCAGTGCGAAGCTTCGCCGCCATGNGTACATATTGAACTATAAATGTTCTCCTTACTATTGAGCAACATTCACTTTCTGTTAGAATTTACTAGTAGTAAATTTATTATTTTCATATCTCTTTCAGATTGTTTTACACTCCATATTTTCAAAGAACATTTTCTTTAGCAAATTATTGGAATGGTGAGGATATGTACTTTACACACTCTTTTTCTATTGGCTCAGTTAGAAAATTAACATGTCAAATTAAAGGAAATTATGAACTGAAAGTCTTAATTTTCAACTAAAAACAATAAATTTATTTTCAAAGAACATTCTCTCCCAGCAAACTATTGGAATTGTAAGAATAATGTATGCTTTGCATACTTTATTTTATTGGAGTTAATTTTAAAAAATTAATTTGTCAAATTAAAGAAAATTTATAAATAATTTTGCAATTCTTAATTTTTAACCAAAAACAATTTGGTTACTAGGTATCCTGTTTACACTGTTGAAATCATACATAATGTATTAAAATTATGAAGTGTATTTTTCTTTTCTAGATCCATATCATGAGGACAAAAATTATGAGTTTAATATATTCCTACCAGTAGTGAACAACCTTGATGCTTCAAAGTTCTTCAATGTAACAGGTATTTGAAACCATTAAAAATTCAGAATCATTAATTTTCATTGCACCTTTTAACTATCATATAATAATAATGATAGTAGTAGTAATAATAATAATAATAATAATAGTAGTAGTAATAGTAATAATAACAATAATAATAATAGTAACAATAATAATAGTAATAATAGTAATAATAATAATAATAATAATAGTAATAATAATAAAACATCTTACCTTATCCCTTTTATACTAATTAGTCTCCTTTCTCAGCTTAAATAGCTTTACCTTTTTGTTTTGGTTTACGCCTTCATCCTTAATTAGCTTTTGTTAATATATTAGTATAGATTTCTGAAGATGATTCAACCATCAGAAAGAACTTGTTTTTTCTGAACAAAAAAGCACTTGTCCAAAATATTTTTTCTTTTTGAAAAATGTAAAGAAGTAAACCTAGAACGAGTTATTCCTTGGCAGACTCAGTGTCTGATCTAGAGCACGCCATTGCGGGATTGGTGCAGTTCGATAGATGTTCCCCAAATATTCCTCTTGTGGGTCATTCTGGCGCAGCAAACATCTGCAGCTACTGACTTGTAATTTTCCTTCGTTTCCTAAGTTTTTCAAAAACATTGTGTGACTTAAAATTTCATAGAATTGACAATATAAACAGAAAAACAGCGTGCGTTTTACAAATGTTTACAACATGGACAAATAAAAATGGCTGCCAGAGGCTGAGATGAGATTCCTGGGAACAAGTAGAATAATTCTCATAAAGGGGTCAATTTATAAAAATGCACACACTCATTGCAAACCCCTTACTTTTCACGCTTGATTGATTAAACACGACGTGTCATTTCGGTTGTTTTCTTTGTTGTTCTGCTATATTATTGTCACTTCAAAGCAGAAAAGAATATTATTATTCTTTGGTCGAGTAAACAAAAGAGAAGAACACAGACCGCAAACAGAAACCACAGAACCGACAATGTTGACAAAGATAAATTGAGTGATATTGATGAATGTGAACCTTTTGTCGAACCAAAGGCCAAAGCAGCAAGGAGAACTTTCAATCTACCTGGTTGGAAAAATTCAAGTGGATGCAATACGACAACACAAAGAGTATGTTGTGTTCGATTTGCATTAGGTCTAGCAAAGCAAATCCCTTCACTTCTGGCTGCATTAATTTCAGAACTTGGACACTGACTCACCACATAGAAAGTCATTATGCTGACCTTACTTTTTTAAATTTCTCACAAGCAAAAAACAGTGTGTCCCCCAAAAAACTGGAATGTCTCCTAGAAAACTGTTGACTGGGACAGAATGTCCCCCGAAAGTGAAATCCTACGTAGATCAAACACTGCAGACTAGAAATTTAAAACTGATTTCACCATACCTAGATTTCGGACTGTTGCTTACGGCAAACATAGCGTGAATTATTAAGGCCCTGTCATTTGGTCCAAACACGACAAATCTATTCGATTGTGTGAATCATTGGACACTTTAAGAAAGCATGTCAAATTGGTTAATTTCACAAACCTGCTGGACATTACTTGTAAAGACTGTTTTTAACAACTAACACAATTGACTTTATTGCATGACTCATTGTTTGTTTTATATATTTTTCAATACTTACATAATTATACTCAGAAAGAGTTTGATTTTATTTTTTAGTTTACATGTGTGATAAATTTAACTTTGTCTATGATCTTTACAGAGTATGAAAAATTTAAAGAGAACTTCTTACGAATCAAGAACTTAGTCCTAATTGGAGGTCCAGACGATGGCGTTATTACTCCATGGCAGTCCAGGTAAATGAGCACACCAGCAGACGTGATAATTTTTTTCCAGGAATGGCTTTAAAAACACATCACACTTGCAAATGTTCGTAAATTCTTGATAATTATGCAGCTTTATGATACATGCACTGTGATGTTAACTGATAAACAATAGATGCAACAAATTTTATTAGGATCATATACTATAAAATAGTACACTAGAGTGTAAGCTGGGTTCCTCAGCATTAGATAACTTGCAGTATTGCTACTCCCCTTGGATGGGATGGCTGTCCAGTGCCAGCATTTTTTCTGGGTAGAGAGATGCATTAGGAGTTGATATGCATCTTGCCCAAAGTAAAGTCTGCATACAAGCCAAGTGGCCCATGAGGCTGGAGCTTATCCCAGTTTCTGTAGCATGAAGCAACTAGGAATATTTCTACTCCCCCTGGATGGGATGCTAGTCCATCACAGGGTTACCCCCAGCATTGAATTTGCTAGTACCCAGTTGTGCACCTGGTGGAAAGAGGCTCTGTGAGATTTAAATGTCTTGCCCAAGAACACAACACAGAGGGTGTCGATGGGGTTAACTGTTAAGTGTGTAATGGTGGTTTTTAGTGCAGAGTGCACTATTGGGATAGTGTAGGGGGCTGATGTTCGCTAAGGCACTAACGTAATAACACCATAAGGTGTAAACTTTAATAGTTGT